GGGAGACAGAGATGCCGATCCCTTCAGCCCTGCTTACTCACTCATCAGACATCTGCAGGCCCGAGTGGAGTGAGCGTTCTCGGCAGAAGTGGCCTTGAGGTCACTGCAAAGTAACTCAGGCAACTTATCATGATGCAGACATCAGAGCTGCTGCCTATAGCAAAGCCAGTGGGAAACTAACAGTGCATCATCCAGCGGTTACATCCAAAATTAGGGACTGTAAGTGAAGCTAATGGGCTTATTTCGTTTTGATTGGGTGGGATTTTCGTTGGGCAGGGTCTTTTTTTTTTGGTTTTATCTTTGGTAACAATTTCATGCTTCACGTAAACAGCCTGCTTTTAGGTTTTTATCAGGGTCTTGGGATGGGTCTCGAAACACACCATGGTACAGAGAACAATTGTTTATTGCACCCAGGAGTTTGTTTTGCCATCTCAGTCTCCTGTACCTGCACTGGCCCATCGGGATGGTTCCTAAGTGTTTCAAAAGGATCACAAGTTACACTGATAATATTGATTGGGAAAATGGGGAGTTTAAGGAAATTTTTCTTTTCACTCTTCAAAAGAGATTTGTTTTTTCTTTCTGTAATTCTGGGTTTGAACCCAGGGCTTTGTATGTGCTAGGCAAGCACTCTACCAGTGAACTACCTTCCCAGCCATGTTTGAGTATTTAACAGTGAAAGTGTATGTATGTTTACTTGTGTTTGACATGAATTTAAGCGACAGATAAACTCTTAAGTTCCTTTATGTCACATAAAGACGCTTTTGAAAGAGCCAATCCAATTGTGAGTCAGGTGCCTTGCTCTGGAACACATTCACAATGACATGGAAGGGCTGGGTAGATAGAAATGAGCCAGAGATTCTGACGGAAGGTCAGGAATTGTCTCAGTCTTGACCACAGTGTCATTGTGGTGTTGAGCAGGAAAGCCTCATCACAAACAGGCACCATCCCTTCAGGAGCAGTAGCTCTATGCACACAAACCCCAGACCTTTTGCAGGTGAGCAGCAAGGTACTTCCTCTGCGAAAGCAGAGCTGCCCTGAGCACAAAGCTAAGGAACCTCACTTTCCTTAGGGGAGCAGTTTTGTATGACTGCCGTATCCCTCTGACTTCCTCATAAACGCTTCCATTTCACTCCATACTTCAAAGCCTTCCTAAGTGGAAAGGAAAATTTCCAACAAATGCTAAAGGAGATAACATTAATAAAGTGCTTATCAGAAGATCACTTGATATATAATTAGTTCATTCCAAGTGTGTAAGTAAATTAAACTCATCAACAAAGAATTAATTGTACTTAAAATAGGACAAAGCATCTGCTCTAGTGTTATGAGTTTCCTGGATCAGAAATTTCATCTGCCTGCCAGCACCAGCCCCTGACAGGTGAAATTTTCTTCCTAAAGAGGCAGCCTGTGAATGCAGGTGGAGCAGGCTGCAGCCGGAGCTGTTCTGAGTGGCTCTAAATCTTGGCCACACATTAGAATTCCCTGAGGAGCTTTAAAAACTCCTTGGTGACCCCGGAATACATTAGAGTAATTAAATCAGCATCACTTGGCATAAATGCTTATGTCTTTTTTAACTTCTCACGTGATTCCAACATGTCATTAAGGTTAAGAACAAGTGCTCAAACTTTATTATGCCTGTGGATCACCTGAGGCTCTTGAATTAAAATGGGTTCTAGTTCTGTAAGCTTTGTATGGGCCCAGGAGTGCAGCATTTCCAACCCCAAGATGATGGGGTAAGGATTTAATTTCTAAAATTCTTCATACAAATGTCTATGAAGATATATATAACACTTACTGTAATATTTGTAATAATTATTGCAAGCCACCTAGACGTCCATCAATGAAGGATGAAATAATTGTGGTACAATCAGACAATGGAACACTACACAGTATTTAAAATGAATTAAATGTACCATCTTAGCTAAATCTCATAATGTTGAGTAAAACAAGGAAAGGATAGAAGTGTTTGCACACTGTGGTATCATTTATGCTACTTTTGAAAACATGCTACTTTGGGATACAGATGGTATTAATGTAACAATACACATGGAAATAATAAATTAAAAATTAAAGTCAAGATTGTGGGTTTATGTGAATAGGGTGAAAAGAGATTGGAATTGGTGAAAGTTGCACAGTAGGCCTTGGTTAAATATGTCATTTTCTTTCTTTTAAAAATAAAATACAGAAAATTTTAGGATTTTATTGTGCTGAGGTGCTCAGTGGTGAGTATAATATTATCTTCTATACTCTTGCGTATGTTCAACAACCTAAAACGAGTTATGTTCATAGTAGCATTATTCAAAGCAACCAAAAGGTGGCAGCAGCCCAAGCATCCAGGCATATTTAAAATTATTAAGCCTGTAACTTAAAAGATAAAATGATTATATGTCTACTAGCAGGGGATCGATAAATGATATTTTTAAAACCCTAGAAAGGAATACCACACAATCAGAAAGAATGAAATCCATCTCTGTGTGCTGGTATGGAACGCCTGGCATGGCACACTGGTCACCACAAAAGCCAAGGTGATGGGCAGTGGGGCAAAAGGCCACCGTGCACAGGGCACAGACTGCTTTGAGAGAAATCGAAACCATCAGCACCTGGCTCTGGCACTGGGCAGGGGCAGGAAGCACAGAGTTTAGGGCTGAGTTTAAGACTAAACTACTTAAAAGTCAACTTGTGTTTAAGAAAATCCTCTCAATCATCCACAGCACTGAGACAAGAGTGGATGTCACCCTCATTCTGGGCCACTGAAGTTCAAAGAGACAAAGCGCTGTGCTAAAGATAGAACTGGGATGTCAACCAGCACGTACTTTTAAAAAATGTTTGAAATATTTAACAAACTGAACAGTAGCCCTATTTCATATAGCTACCCCACTGAAGCAGAAAACACCATATTCTCCCCTAAAATATATGTGGGAAAATGTAGTACTTTGCAGCTTAGTTTTCACATTATTAGCATAATTTGTGTTTTGTATCATTTGTCCTTCTACATAATTTTATTTTTAATTTTCACCCATCTTTTTTAAGTCAAAAATTTTATAGTTCTTCTTGTTTAGGGCTTTCGTTGACTATCCTTTTTTTTTGTCTTTTTCTTTTTTTATCGGTACCGGGGATCGAACTCACAACTGCCTGCTTGCAAGGTAGGCGCTTATGCCGCTGAGCTAAATCCCCAGCCCCGTTGACTATACTTTTAATTTCATGTTTTTTGCGGTCCACATACATAAGAATGTATAACAGGTTTTCAAAAAAAAAATAAAAGCATCACAAGAAGTACATATCTGCATATACATCTGTACATATATAAATATCCTGATTCTTGGTCAGTTTAAAGCTGTAAAAAATACGATCCTCACCAGCTCTTAAACACATTTGTCTTTGCTTATTTACAGATTTAAAATTGAGTTTTGTTTTGTTTACCAAAAGAAACTCATATCCTCCAAACATGGTTTTTTTTTTTTTTAACCAAAGATTCTGCTTCAAAATGATTACACCAAGCACAAAGAGCTAACTGCAAATTTTGGTGAACCCACACGGTGGCGCTAGATACCTTTAGTTTAATTCCACAATCTGGTAAATGTCTAGAAAACAGCATTTGAGAAGTACCTCTAGAGTAAGCAAAGATTAGTAATTGAAGCTAAAATGAAAGACGTTTTGCTTCTGTCTGGAAGGGCAGCTGCCAGCCAAAACACATTTGAAACTCTAATTACACACTTAAAGACTTACCCAAAATGCCAAGCATTAAATTAGAACTGCCTTACTTCCAATGGCAGATTCAGCATCTGCCCCTTTGGACATGTTTCAGTAGTGGTTCTTGATCATCTCAATATATTTCCAGAGTCCCTCTTATATACATTCCACTTACACAGTGTGTGTGGGGGTGTGTGTGTGGGGGTGTGTGTTTGTGCGTAACAGACACACACAAGCACGTACACAACATGAACCAAAAGCATTTGGGTTTACTTCATTTTTTGGTAACAGTTCAGTCACATCTTTATTAAATAATATTTGCATTTCACTATAATACACTGTCTTTGTATTTTTCTTAAGTCCCACTTCTCAACAGCTTAAGAATATCCCACAAATAAAAAATAACACTTGGTGGGTTAGGCCTAAATTCAAAAGATGAAAATCTTAAAACTCACCATAAAAAGATGTATTTCTGATCTCTTGATAATTCCCTATCAACTTTTAAGGCCAGGAAAATTTCACTGAAGCCTTTTACATACAAGTGATTTCAAACAATAACACCAGGCAATCAATAAGCCTCAGAAATACCTCAAGGAAAGAAAAGCTGAAAATCTAGTGGTTTAAGACTGTTTTACACCCATTGTCACGGCTTCCTTTTAAGCTAAAAAATCTCTTGGAGATGATTTAATAAGGGTGCTGGTGCTGTATTTTATAAGACAAAAATTCAATGTGACCTATTCACTTCATTCAGAAACTTTTTGTGTGTGCAGACACAAGAATTTTCCCACGACACCCAGTGTATGTGTCTTGCATCCCGATTAAACAAAACATAACAGCCTTCTTACAGCCTATAATCTAGTTTTTAAAATGAGCATTTAAATTCAAAAGCACACTGCATATCAACTAGAGTGCTCAAAGGATCACATCTGTGTATATAAACTGACTATAAGAATATTTTGTATATGAAATATGAGTATATGCTTTGTAATATGTGTTTCCAGAAGCAATGGCTGTGGTCTTGCAAATATCAGCTTTTGTCACATTTAAAGGGAAGATAAGTATTAAAACAGATCACTAAAACTGAGGACACACTGCAGCCTGGGCCACCTCCAGGGTTGGGGGAGAGGTGTTGGGGGCAGCTTGGTCAGCTCCACTGCAAGCCCCAGGGCTTCCAGGGCTCCATGGGGAGTGCACGGCAGTAAGTGCACACTGAGGAACGTAGACCCCCACATTCCTCAACCATCAGCTTGGAAATAACACCCCAGTGCTGACAATTTACCATCTTCCTGGATCTCCAACACAGAACCAAACCATTTGCAGACAAGACTCAGAAACTTTTATTAAATTGAACACAAAATGCCTGTTAGAATAACATCAAGCTTTTATCAGAGATCAGTACATAAGTGAGAATACACAGCCAAAATGAGCCATCAACATAAGCAGTATAAATTTTAATTAACTTTCAGATTTCTATATTCAATACGCTGAAGAAAACAAAACCCAAAGAGCAATTTCAGTTTCACAATTCACGGCTGATTGGTTTTAATCCCATGATGCATTTGTCATTTCTGCTGTCCCAGAACAAAAACATATTCCCAAAGCAGTGACTGGCACTTTGCTCCCATACCATACAAAGATCTAAAACCCCACATGACATTTAAAGAAAATGTTATGAAACAACCTCAATTTCATACAATTCAGGCTGGCATTTGTTTTAGCTGTATCTTTACTGAAGACACAGTTCTTGGAAAGTAGCAAAAGCAGTTTAAAGAGTTGCCATGCCATTCAGGAAGGGTTCAAATGTCTCTCTTGGTTTCCCATGATTTGATTTTTAAGACAGTAACTTTTACACTGAAAGCAAAATCAGTTTTATTTTTGAATCTAGTGCACGCATCTGAGAGGATGCTTTCTGTCCCAGCAGATACGTGCACTGCTTTGAAGTGGAGCCCCACACACTCCAGTAAGGCATTTCCAGGCAAACACACCCGCTCACGCCAGATCACCACGGTCAACAAAGGGACCTCAAAGTGAACACCACATAGTGCAGAATCAACATGAAATTCTTACACACTGGTCCACAGCACCACAGGAAGACACTCAGGTACATATGGAAGGCAAAACAATAGCCACTCCAAAAAGTTTTGTTTCCATAAATGCCAGATTTGCAGTATAGAAATAAACTATATATGCTTTATTCTAGAATAATGTCACTCATTTCAAAACATGGAGTTACTTTTCCTTTAAAAAAAATCATGTAGGAAAGACACATATAACCAATGATACAGAATATTTATTTTCACTAGTGAGGGGGTCACTTAAGCACTTACATTGAGATGAGAGACTCAGGAAGGCCATTTAAAGGTTAAAAAAAATCTGATAAGCCCTGCATTATCAGTTGGTATTAAACAGTGCAGTGAGAGTTCAGTGATTGCAATGGGCTTACTTAAGTGCTATGGCCACAAGAACACTGTGAAGTTAAAAAGAACTGTGAAATGTCTAAAAATAAACATCTAAGTAGTAAAAATACATATTTTTCTTTTAAAGGTCCAAAGGAAGTATTCAGTTTCAGAAACCAGGAACTATATCCAACAAGCACAAGAATATAAACCAAGAACAGTTAAATTTCATTTCTGATTCAGCTTTACTCACTGCATCACCATGACCTGAAGTTGCTTAAATTTTGCAGATTGATCCACCAAAAGTGAACATAGAAAGAAAGGCATATATCCAAAAGGTTCTAAACATCATTGGAGTAAAGCTAAATATAGTTACTAAGGCTCACAATTTCAGCAACTCATTGTACAGTACAATCGTTTTAAATTCTGCTAATTACAGCTAGAGGAAGCATGGGTAATTACAATGCACTGGCAATTGAATCAAATTCCTCTGATACATTAATAGTCTCTATTTTATAAACCACTGGAATGGTTCTCGAGATGCCTGAAACAGCTCATCGTGCATGGGTTTGACCCTTTCCTCCCCTCTCCCCCTGCCAGAGCAGCTGACAACAGTGACAAGAAGAGGAAAAGCAGCAACTGGTGAGGTGAGGTATACGCCGATCTCATAAACCCCAATCTATAATTTACAGTTTTCTGAAGAAGCTGCATAGTTCAACAAAAATACCTCCAGCAGAAGAAGAATAAGGAGAAAAAACTCTTCTCGTGAAACTTTAAAATTGCTGACAATTAAGCATTTAAAATAACCAACTCCAAAAAATGTGTTTGAAAAAGGAGTTGTCTTCCGTCACTCTAAGCATACGGATGAATAGAAACTGGAAGACTGAAGTCCACAGGAGAAAAAACAAGTGTGTTAATTGGCTCAGCGTACCAACTTCATACACTGCTTTCAAAAAGATATTAATATTGAAATCAATATTAAACCCTCGTTAATGCACCTAGGGGAAGTGCTTTGTCTAAAATTTACACTGCAGAGTCTATCCTGACGGACTGGTGGATGAACAGAGCGAGTGATGGATAGATATGTGGAATTACAGGTATGTAAAATGTCAATTAGATTCAGTGGGTGAGTATGTGAAGCATTTTTTATTTTGACACGTTTAAAATTTTTCATGAAAAAGTATTTCTGTAACAAAATAAGTTTAGCAGTGTTTTTAAAGATTCTAGCTACTCAGGCAATTTAGAGTTTTAAATTAATTGATGTAAGAGAAATTATTAAAGGCCTCAAACGATTTGTAAAGATACCTCTCTTAAAGAAGAGATGAATTAACACAATATTTATGCCAGACAGGTTCATAATATATTTTATTTGCAAATATGTCATTCTCTCCTTTAGAAAAAAGATGTGTTGGAAAAAGACACTGGAATAAAGAATTTATCCAAACCCCAGTGTCAAGCTCCTCCAATCTACTATACTACCATTCACTAAATATAAAAGTAACACTTCAAGGTGACTATTGCCAGCCTGAGACACCTGGATTCATGTTCAGGGTGTATATTTCCTGATCCATTGAGTTTTACTTACTATCAAGTTGAGATTGCATTAACAAAAAAACAGAATCCACATAGACCTTGGCTATTCCAAGTTTCTGTTTTATGAACCATGATGAATAGCAATAATTCTGTCATCTCTTCTCGGCGAAATGCTAACACTTGCTAAAGGCACTCATATTCTGGGCTTAACGGACACAGGGTCACACAGGACCATAAGCCATACTTTTTTTGGTAGCTACCCAGAAAGGGAGTTTACAAATGATCCCCCCATTCCTAATGGGAAGAAAACATCAAACAGTTAACAGTTACCGTAGAAATCTTACGAGAGGCTATTTACACAGTTATTTGTTCGAACATTCAGCTACACTGATAGTAACAGCTCATAAGGGTATGAGTTCCCCCACTAAGAACACAAACACAGGAATGAAACACTTTGTATTATACATGGAATGCCTCAATAGTGATTTGTCTGGTAAGAAAAAAAAAAACCAGAGGGTAAGGTACAATTTTTTTTAAACACCTGTTCAAAATCTTGCCTATCCTAACAAATCACTCCTCCACTTATTTCTAAAGAAATAAGAACCACTGTCCACTGCCTTAGTACAAGCTTCCCCAAGTTTTTAAGTACTTCCAGCTTAAGTTTTGATATTACAACGTAAAATTCCAAATCTACCATCTTTAGGCCTCTCTGAAGAGAATACCGTGTCAAAGTGTTCCTTCCCCATCTCTCCTGACACAAAAACAGACTCATTTTACACAGGTCACTACACAGTCCTCAAACTGTTGCTGTTCAATTCCAGACAACTCAGGCATGAAGAAATCACAAATCTCACCACAAATCCTTAGCGCCTAACTTCAGGGGAAGATTTAATCAAATGTATACATATACATATGCATGTATATACATGTGCATATGTACATGTATTTCTCCTTTCCTTTGTGTTCAAACTGTAGCTCAATAGCCATAAACAAGCACACAGTTCTGCAGAACAGCTTTATAAAGTGGGGTGGAAGACCTCGTGCTTCCCATTAGCCTATTAAGAGAGAGCGATGCAATGACCTCAGCCTTTGAGTCATATTTGCCTTCAGGGTTTCAAAAATCCTATGGGTTTCTAAGTCTACCCCAATTAATTAAAAAAGAAAATAATGACGAAAAATGTGGAGAGGGTCTTTTTCAAAATGAACGATAAAAAAAAGTATTCACTTTATAGAATTCAGTGCAATAAAAGACAAGCAGATAAACATAATAAACAACATGCACATATTTACAAGTTGCAGGACATGACCAAGACACGACCAAAGACAAGACCAGCAAAGTATTTTCTACTCAGTGTGGGGTCAAGGAATTACAGGACACACTCTATTTAATAACTAAACTTAAAAAAAAAAAAAAAAGAACACTTTACAGGCATATGCAATCCAATCTTAATTGAAATATGGATATTTTCCTTCATAATCTTTCACTCTCAGTGTCTTAGGAGAGTTTACAATTATCTTCTAGTATTAATTTTTTAATGGCAATGTACACAAAGATTCACAGAGAAAAGAGATTTTGATGCTAGGCATTCTTACAGATGATTGCTGAAATCTACTTTTTTTAACTAGAGGTTTTGCTTGTTTAGGCCTCTGTCCATCCTTGTACACGGCATACAGAAGAGGCACGATTTCTGAGGGACACAGGGTACAGATCCTAAAGCTTGTTATGGAGCAGGACTGGATTTCACAAGATGAAACCAACAGAGATCACATTTCACTAATTCAGAGGCAGCAGCAGCAGCCATCTAGAGGGAAGAAACACTGTCTACACAAAAGGTGCCAATATAAGAAACTGTTCCATGCAGCGACGGCAACTTCCAACACCCTCTTTCACCGATGGAACAAGAGAACACTGCAATGTCACTAGCCCAAAATACAACCTACTACGATAGAAATTTGTGATGTTTTTCAGATGTGCGTGAAAGCTCTGTAAATGGTCGTGGAAGGTATTATCAACTGGAATTTGGAAACTAAGAAACTGAATCATCATAGACAATGTAGTACTAAAGTGTCATATAAAACAACAACATAGTTCTTTGTTAGTGCAAAGAAATATAACAAGTAAGAAATAACACTATAAATCTAACTTCTTTCTTTAAAAGAAAATACACTTATGCATTCATAACATCCATTAAGGGCACTGGGAAACTGGAAACCTGAATACACAAGGCCTGAAAACACATCAAGCCCTTAAGTCCACTGCTTTTTGTACACATATATTGAAACTAGTAAGTGGAGAGGGCAGGGAAACACATCCTTTAATTTCATTTCCAAAGGAAAAACGGAAAGTAGATGAATGCGGCATTTACAAAAGGTAAATTCATATCCACAGTCTTTAATGTTAAATCTGGAGTAAGGATGCAGTGAAATTCTCTCCAGGGAATTACATGGAATTCTGGGGAAAGTGTGATATGTGTACACACACCTGTCGAAAAGAAACGAGACTTTTAAATAAGCATAAAACCAGCATGAGATTAACATCTACCCAAAAATTGTATGTAGCAGCAAAATGAGTAACCTACTGGCCAGTAAGACAAGTGTTAAATTGTCCTAAACTAATAAACGATACTTCATAGACTCAACTACTACAAAAAGGGCTATTATAAAAAGAGTTATGGATCTAGATAGAATCTCAACAGAAAATTATTTCATTCTTCTGTTACTGGGAGAAAAAAAAATTTACCAAGTAATTCTACTGTTCAATAAACCACCACCTTAACAAAAACTGATTTTAATTATAGATCTAGACTATTTAAAATTGTCCCAACATATCACCAAAAAGAAATGATGATTATACCTATTTGCCTATACAATTCTCAAGGTTACCAAGAGTTTCAGTCAGTAGCAAAAGCAATCAAACAAGCATCTGCCAAACACATGCTCCCTGTAAACTTCCGGAGTACCTGGTCTTTCAAAAGAAGCACAGATGAGCACCTGTCTTGTCCATGTAAAGTAAAATGTAGCAAACAGACACAAATGCAGTTAATGAAACGTCATGTAACACTCCATGGGTAATTGAGACATACACTATGGCTTCTTATTTTAAAAGCAAAAACAATGTTCTACGGGAGGTGGTGATACTGAAACTTGAACAGCTTTTTAAAATTTCTTCTCTTATCTATGAAATAGCAGGTGATGCTATTAATGTTTTTTCCATGATGGTCAACAAACTGACAGAACAGAGAACAATATAGTATAAGGATTGGTTCATTTAAAATTTTCTGCCAAAAGAAAATATCAAGAGAGCATACATTATGGTTAAGACAATCATACATTGTATGTTACACTATTATCAATGAAGCCAAAATTCTAAACTGAAAAAGCCAACACATCTTTATGTTTCCTAAATCAGATGGGAAACATTCTCTGAAAAACCTCATGCCCACCTTGAACTCCTATGCCCAAATTCATGTTTGGAAAGCCCATAGCACAGCGAGGGCATGAAAATAAACCTACAAGACAAGATGATTCCACTGGGAGGAAGAGGGCAGACCGGGCGGCAGCAACTGAATGTGTGGAATCCACAACTAGAAATGGAGTTTAGCCGTTTGGACAAACACAAGCACACTGAAAATATCTGAATTCAAGAAAACCTGCACTTCAGGGACGGAGGGACAATACAGGGGAACTATGTCTTGGAAAGACCCTAATACAGACTGTACTGATACATCTTATTGGCAGTGCATTGAGGTGAAGATTCCCGCAAAGCCTTGAGAAACAAACCTCAGCTTTTATTGCAATCTGAAGTAAGAACTCAACACAATTCTTTATTTAACAGTACATAAAACTAAAACTACAAAAGCAGATGAGATTTTTAAATGGTCGTATCTCTAAGTCAACCAGAATTTGGCCAAGATAAAATGTTACTTCTGATGGGATAGGTAAGTCACATGCAATAGAGCTCGACACAGTGGACCCGAAAAAGAGTTAGGACCTAAGAAGCACGTCTGCCTCTCCCCCATCGCGGGGTACTGACATCTCATGGTACCATTGCAGGGTACGCACATTAACATCAAGCGGAAGAGTGGATTTGGATCAGAGGACCACAAAGCAGGGCGAGCAGACAGAAGGCAAACAGGCAGGAAAAGCTACTCCACCTGAACAGGACCACCACTATACATAACCCAGGTTCTCCATCTCGTTCCGGTACCGCTGTTCAGACACCTTGCTTTTGTGTTGCTTGCTCTCTAAATGCTGCCGAAATTCCACTTCTTCACCAGCCCCAACATTACACATTGAGCAGTAAAACTGGCCACTCGGAGTAACACACATGGCTAGGTCACGTGGAATCCTCTGCCGAGAGCGAGGGTTGAAATAAGGGCCTGCGAAAGCAAGAGATGGAAGAACAGTATTGACTTACTGGAAGACCCTCTGACCAATTCTCATGGCATCTGTAAGTCTACAGCAAATGACGCAATTAAGAGATTCTTAGTTTTCAATGAAGTTAAACGTAACGAGGTTTTTTGAATTAATTATAATTTTAGATCAGCTCAATCCACAAAGATAAAATGATTCCCAAACTACTGTTAGGAAGGTTTGGGGTTTTTTTTTTTTTTTTTTTTCATTTTTATCTGTACCCGGGATTGAACTCATGACCACCTGAAGGCAGGTGCTTATGCCACTGAGCTAAATCCCCAGCCCAGGAAGGTTATTGTAGTGCCAAACCCAAACTCTAAATGGCCATGTCTCTAAAGAGTGAACACAGCTTTTAAAATAATTTCCAAGCATTATAATTCCTGTAATTATGTTAATTAATCTACAAATTATACTCCTTTAATTACCCTAAGAAAACATTAAGAGTGTTTGCACAGAGGTTTTACCAGCAAGATATTCACTTTGACAGTGTTTATAAAAGCAAAATTTTGGTGAAATGAGAAACCCAAAAACATGTGATTTGAAAAAGCATGGTAATGAACACGATGATAAACTACAGAGCGGGCTGGGCAGCAGCTCAGTGGTGAGCACTTGCTAGCATGTGCAGGGGCCTAGCTCCATCATAACCAAGCAACGAACGGACAGAAAAAACACCTATGAAGACAATAAATAGAATGCTATAGAAAACTCATTACATTAAAATATGACATTCTATTAAGTAAATGGTGAATATCACAAAATATGAAAAGATTTATATGAAAATATGAAATGACATACAAAAATGTTGATGACATTGCAATTAATTTTATTTTCTTTATTTTGTATTACTTGACTTTCCTGGGCCATTGTTTCATTAATTTTCTTCTTTTCTGTTCTAGTGTAATAAATATTTTTCCCAAAATATAATTTTCACTGTCTTACAATTATTGATAAGATAGTTTCATTACTGTTTGATTCTAAGAATTATTAAATTCTAGTATGAGTGCTTCTTTGAACTATGAATCATTTAATGTTTTAAAAATTTCCAAGCACATGTAGATTTTGTTTTTATGTTTTTATTACTGACATCCCATTTAATAGCACTCTAGCCAGAGAACATAATCTATACTACATTCATCCTAAAATTTATCTTCTCTAACACTGAGACACTTAGCCTGGCTTCCTTCATTTCGGCTGGCTTTCTTTTACCCAGCTGATAATTGTGGTTTTTTAAGTGACACTTTCTTAAATCTGTATTATAATTACTTATATGTTAGACTTTCATTAATCATACTGCGTCATGTTTCCTAGATGTCTTAAGTTCGCTTTGTTTTACTGGTCACATAAATGATTCTGCTGTCTCAGAGGCTGAGGTGGGGGAAGGATGAAGATCTCCTTAATCCTAGACTCCCTACTAAAGACGAGAAAAGAACATTCCTTTAAACATGGGATTCTAGATTGAATGTGTGCATCAAAATCACTAAGGAATCGTTTGCAAAGCATACTCAGGTCCAGGTCCCATTCCAAAATTTACTGATTGAGTATCTCTATGTAATCGTTCAGGTATGCATATTTTATGAGAACACCTTAGAAAACTGTGATTCACTACCCTGCTTTAAAACCTAGTATTTTCTTTCATTTTCCCCAAGAATGTGAACTGAATGTAGCATAAGTTTAAAGCTCCAACCCATTTTCATTAGGCATTTTATACTTTCCAGCTGGCAAACAAGAAAAGCAACATAAAGGAACTATGATAAGAGACCTTAAAACACAGACATAGTTTCAACCCAAAAGAAATACGTAATATACTAAGTAGGAAATAAGACCTGAAATAAACACCAGCATGGAAGGCCTCTAGACCAACAAAACAATGGCTCACTCTGACTTCTCAGGGCTATCTATTACTATTAAAGGAAATAAAAATCAGAGTCCATTTATGGAACATATGTGTAAATTTCCAAAGTATGTGGAAATACATGGGATACCTGAATTATTCTGTACTGTGTACATATTTCTCCTATTTGGCATCATCTTAAATTCATTGCCTTCTTTCCGGGCCCGCCGTTGACCCATCTCTGAGGAGTCCCTAGAGAAAAGAAATTTTAAAAGAGTAAGACTTCTAAACAAGGATCCCTTTCAGCTCTCTTTAAAGAGAGTCTGTCTCACATAACACCCTGGCCTCAGAGAAAATGGCAATACCTACGAGAACGAGTTACTCTGAGCTTCAGCCAGCCGCAGCCTCTTGGCATGATTCTTCCCTTGATAGTGAGCCTGGGCCACAGCCGGGGAGCTGAAGGAGGCATCACAGAGCTTGCAGTAGTCATTCTCTGTAGCCAGGATCACTCTGCCTCCTGGCCTAAAGGAGCCCACCTGACATCAAAGACACAACACACGAGGAGGCAAGGTTTAAAAAAAACGGAGCTTAGCCTTCCTTCTCTTCAAAGGTCCTTCTCAGAACTGAAACAGCCAAAGACCACAACACTCAGCTTTACAAAGAAAGGAAGTAACCCCAGAAAGGAAAAAAAAGCTTGGAGACACTTAACTCGTGCTTCTGCATTATAATCACCTATGGCAATGTACCAAACTCTGAGCAGCTTGTTGCTATGCTTCTGAAAAAGATTGTAAGATAAGTTAAACACTCCAGCATAGAAGATTTAGAGAAATAAGTAATATGTAAATAAATAGGGAAGACTTAAAGTCTCCTTTTCAGAACAAATAGTCTCCTCAGAAAGCATCAGTAAACACCAAGTGCCAACTGTTTGCTAAGCCTTGCTATCTAATCTAGAGGGATACGGTCAATACATATTTTTTAAAGTCAAACCTCTGCTCTCATAAAGGTTACAAAATAGGCACCAATTAATATAATCAGAAAAAAAAAAAATAACTAGCAGACCCAGGCAATGTGTTAAAGGTTAGGGAACATGTTAAAGGAAATCTGACAGTGCCTGCAAGACAGACAGTGGGTATCCAGTTGTGTTTATGTTAAAAAAAAAAAGTCACAAAGCAGGTTTTGGCGAGAGGAGAAATAGATGATAAAGAGTCTGAAAGTCGTATCATTTCAGGAAACGTTGAAGGAAGTAGAATTGTTTGATCCAGAAGAAAAGAATCTCTGGGTAAAGGTTAGCTGTTTTCAAAAATCACAAGGGCTCTGTTATCCAGGGCAATGCAAGCTGTTTTCCCGAAAGGGTGGAGCCAGGCAAAAACCATCCCTGACAGGGATGAGCCATCCAATGCCTCTGTGGCCTTCAGAAAGCGACAACGTGAAGAACTCTAAAGTGTTTTCTTGTCCTCTGATTCCATTTTAATGTATCTCATTTTCCCCACAAATTGATGAAAAGGAACAATAGCTGGAATTGCGAGCCACATATTAAGTACTAAAATAAGAATCTCCAGAAAAGTAAAATCAGGCCATGGTGATTAGGAAGATCCTAAGATGTAACACTAAAAAGAGTTACTTCACTTTACGGGGCTGTTAATACAACTCTAAAGAGGCTCACGCTGCTGGCACGTGGACCACACTTTGAGTAATAAGGCCGACGCCTCTAAGTTGCTGCAAGCATAAATGAAGTTAGGGCCCAGGTCTGAAATGAGACACTTAGACTTTGTGCACAGAATTTAAGGGAATATCAAAAAACTTTAGTAATCAAAATAAATAAAATTTTAAAGAGTGAAATTTAATAGAAAAAATAAATGAGCAAAATATCAAAAATTGTACATAAAGACAAAATTAGCACCACTACCATGCTAAATCATCCTGCAGTAAAGCTAAAGGAAAACTGATTAATACTTATCCTACCTTTAAGTTTTTGATGACTGGTCCACTATTTCTTAAATTAATTTTGAATTTGTTAAATAGTTCATGAATGAACTTATGAGACCTGTTTGTTTTTTGACTTCTTAAACTTTGTGCCCAAATCAAGGTATCCTTCACCTCATTTTAGTCCCACTTCTAAAGGAAATGATGCATTAAGCAAAAAACACCTTGCAAATACACTCAATATATTATTCCTTATGTTGTTCTGTGAGCAGAGAACATTTCAAAGACAGGTTAAGAAGGACAGTCCATATTTCAGAGGCAATAAAAACCCAGGAATACCTCGCTTGAACCATTTGCTCTGACTTTCAAAGAGTAAAAAGAACTGGCCTCTCAAGTGTGTCTTGTAATTCCAAAGCCTACATGGCATTTGTCCTTGATCTCTCTACAGAGGTAAATAAATGGCAATCTCAAGAAACATCTTATAAATGGAAGATACAACACAAGTAGAATTAATGGCAATTAAAATTTGTTTTAAATCTCTCATCATTCAGGGGTACTTACCCTGGAATTCTGAAAAAAGTACAGAAACAGACTCATGTTATAATATTTGTTTCATAAATATCAAAGTTTAAAGATTTTGATGTGCATTAAATACAGCACATAGTAAGTACCAAGGAAGACCTCTCAGGAATATCTGTACAACTACGTCCCGATGGACACATGAATGACAGATTTCATCCATGACTGTACACGCCCACGACCGACCGCTTCCTAACACCACTGCCCCGCCTCCCGCCCCGACGCAGGTCTCACCTGTGCAGGGACTGAGACCACAGGCGCAGCTGCAGGCTCCACAGCATTGCTCATTCTGGCAGGAGGAGGACAGCTACTGGCTGCATAGTAGTTTCGGAGTTTCTTACCATGATTTTTACCCTAAATGAAAAAATATAACGAATAATCACCAGGAGGAAATTCTGTCAGATTTGAACTCATCAATGTATTTGTTAAAAAAAAAAAGGAAAGAAAAAGCCCACAAGCAATACTAATTATGTATTATTTCTCTATCTACACTACACTGGGGTAAACACCACTAGCTAGATGCCATTATTAGATTTTATTTGTTTGAAGATTTTGTTGTTGTTGTTGTCTTTTTTTGTGGTACTGGGGATCGAACTCAGGACCTCGCACTTGCCAAGCAGGTGCTTATGCCACTAAGCTAAATCCCCAGCCTCATTATTAAAAGAATCTATTGATGCCTCTATGGAATGACTGAATTATTTGCGAAGGATAAGAGAACAGTGTCAGACAAAATTAATTTCCTAAGCATTTCTAAAAAAAAATCCCATTCGCCAGTGGTCTGTGTCTCTCCCCAATTCGTGGACATTCAAATGCCACTGCTTAACTATGAATTTCACAACACTCTGATCTAATCACCTTTGGAACTGAGTCATGAAATGAATAATCCAATTATTTTAACAGACCTTACAAAGTATCTTTTTTATGTAACAAGAGACTTGCTGCTCATAAAAATACTGTCTGAGAAATCCATTGATGTAACCCCCAGATGACAGCTAAACATCTGCTTCTGGGTGGGGAAGGCGGTGGTACATGACTTTTCCAGAAGGACAAAGGAGCAGAGCCAAGGCTTGACGCTGGCCTTCTGAATCCAGTACACTACAGAGTCACGGCTTCAGGCTGTATGCTGAACCTCTATGAAAACAGACCTCCCTTCTTCATCGTTATATGCCTTAAGCTAATAAACCAGCAGCAAGGGTCAGTGGTTGAAAAGCATTCTCAATATGGGTAAAACAGTGTATTTGTAAAACCACACTGTAAATTCACACCTACAAGCAATCATTTATTTGCCATCTACTTCATGCTAAAACCAAGAAATAAAATGAAGACTGGCACACAGTCTAAAGGAGACTGAAACAAAAATGTTTAAAGCAATGAGGTATGTTCTCTCCGGGCTTCCTCGGCACACCCCAGCTGTGCTCTTACCATGGCCACGGTGAGCGCAGTCCAACTCGGATCCACCTTTCCTAACCCAGCACCTCGTCATCAGTCCATCTTATCACTCCACCTTCACAGTGCAGCCCAAGCCACGGCACTGCTCTCCACCGACACTAACTACACCGCAGCAATCCAGCCCCCAACACGCTTCAGCTGCAGCCGTGACAACTCCTAACCAGGCACAGCCCTCCTGCACTCCTCCCTATCACAAATGAAAGTGATACAAACAAAATCACCTCCCGCCCTCACTTACAATCTTCCAGTGACTTCTCAGCACTTCACTAACACGAAAAATCTTTTCTTTGAGTCACCCTCTGGCCTGTTTACTTCTCTGATGTTACATCAAACAGGGCTCCCTTCCCCAGCTAATTTGCTCCTGCCTCAATACCTTGTTTTTTACTCCTTAAACACTTCAAGCTAATTCTGGCTCCTCTTCCTAACAAACTTGCTGTTCCTCCTGCCTAGAATATAGAGTTTTCTTATCTCTGTACAGCTGATCAGTATCTTTAAACTCTGAACACATACAGCGTATCTCACTGCATCTCAAGTGTCATAACCTCCCAAACACATGCGTATACAGATGTAAACACTTGCTCTATTATATTACCACATCGTCTGATTTCATTTAATCTTCCTGCCACTTATCACTATGTAAAATAACAGGGATTATTTTTTTTTTCTCCTTTCTGCTCTCAAAAATGTAGACTCATTAAAAATAAAAATCTTGCCTGGTTTACTCCTTTCTGTGATGCTCGGGAAACTTTCTAACATACAGCAAGCAAGCAATAAACATTAGTTGAATAAAAGATTCAAATATTATAGTAGAGATGGTTTTTTAAAAACATTAAGACAACATTGAGAGGCATTTCTTATTTCTGTCTCAACAGATCAGAAGACTTGCTGGAAGAGGGGATGGCGAGTTACCTTTTAAATGAACAAAATTTCACCAGGGAAGTAGGGGTAAAGGAGGAAGAAAACTGTGAGCTAAAAACTAGCATAAGCAAAGGCCCAACCTAAAGGGGAGATGGTCTCGGGATCTCAAGAAAACCAGGAGCTCAGGTGCAAAGGAGGCGCACCCTCAGCGGTTTTACCAATGATTCAGAACAGGGACGTTCAGGGCAGCAGGAGCCTGAGCTATAAGCCAGGCAAGAACAGGACTGTGCTGGATTTGATACAGAGCATCCTGGAATCATCATGGGGCACATAGCAGAGCAGATCAAAGTTAGAAGCTGGGAAGACAAAGGAAAAAAGCCAAGGACTTTTAGTAACACACCTTACTGTAAGTCTCCAACTAGAGGGACACTATGATAATGTGGAAGAAAACAAAGTACCAGGTCTATCGAATAATATGAAAACAAAAGTGTTTTCATGGAAGCCTAGAACCAAAATGGAGCTTGGAGGGAGGTCAGGCAGTTATGAACATGCATACGGTATTTAAGGTCATGGAACCAAAAGGACAAGAGCTTCTGAAACAGCCCTCCAGCAAAGCAAGGGTTCACAGCAGGTCAATGGCTACCCTGAGGAGAAAGACACAAGAACCATGGAGAAGATAAAAAGAAGGAAGGACAAGTTGGAATGAGGGCCAGAGGGAGGCAAAGCCATGAGCAAATGGGAATGCCAGTTATCAAAAAAATTTTTGTTTTAAGAGAAGGGTGCTGGGGCTGGGGATTTAGCTCAGTGGCGTAAGCACCTGCCTTGCAAGCAGGTATTCGTGAGTTCAATCCCTGGTACCGATAAAAAGGAAAAAGACAAAAAAAAAAAAAAAGAGAGAAGGGTGCTATGGTTTGAACATGGTCTCCGCATCAAACTCATGATGAGATTTAATAATCAATACAACAACAGAGAGAGAGCCTTGGTGTGGTGGTTGAAGTCATAAGGGCTCTTCCCTCATGGAGAGATTCATTGAATTCCCATTAGCGAGGGTTAGTTCTCTCCATAGCAGGGAGTCTGGCACAACCCCTACACTCTCACAAATGTGCTCACCCACATGTACCAGCTCCCCGTTTCCACTTCCTACCACAATGTAACACAGTACAAGCCCTCACCAGAAGTCGCACATTTGCTAGAATTATTTATTTCCCTGTCTCCAGAACTATGAGTCACACAAACCTCTTCCCCTTGTAAATTAAGCAGCCTCAAGTATTTTGTTATAGCAATAGAAAATGGGCTGAGATAACACAGCATTGGAAAAAAGATAATCTGGGTCAGTATGCTGAGACTGAGGCCAATCGAAGGGCACTCATATGAATCCAAGAGACAGTGCAGCACAAGGATTAGCATTAAGGAAATCAAGGCCACAGGAGTTTAAAGAATCTTCTTAAAACTAAGTGGGAATCTGAATCCACAGATTTGTAGGAAGATAATACATCTACATAATTAACTATCTTCTTCTATGTGCTGGTCACTATTCAAAGAAACAGAGACAAAATGATAAAAGGCAAAGTCCTTCCCTTCAAGAAACTTTTCCAGAGGTTAAAAACAGATTATATATATTTATTTATGGTTTGTGTCTGAGTGTCCCCACAAAGCCTCATGCCATCACAGAGGTGGCTGAGTCTAGTGTTTGCAACTGGTTTGTTGTCTAGCACTGGGACTGGCAGTGTGAGTGCTGCACCCACCCAGGCGTAGGCAGCTGGCATACAGTATAGGGGAGGAAAGGAGGCGGGCTTTTCCTTTTATGCCCTTTTGCTCTTATTGCTTCTGCATCTGCCACAGCTTCCACGCTCCTTCTCAGCCACACCATTCTGCCTTGAAGCCAGCTGAGTATGAACTGAAACCTCCAAAAACTGTAAGCTCAGTAAACCTTTTCTCCCCTAATTTTGGACATTGGGTATTTTGTCCCAGCAACAAAAGTAACCAAGATGTAGATACAGATATAGATACAGATATATACCATTTAAAAATATAACTGACAGCTGCTCTGCAGAAAATAAAACAGGATGATATAACAAAAATGAGCAAGGGAAGCAGGAACAGAAAGACATGGCTTTTCTGTGGAGTGACACATGAGTTAAAAGTGGAAGAAGAGAAGCCTTCAGCTGCGCAATGTGGAGAAAAAAGGGAGGAGCTGGACACCACAACATCCATTTGACCTTGTTAGGTCTGAGATCTCTTTCTCAGGTCCATAGAGAACATAATTCAGAGTTCAGGGCCAAGCCAAGTGTTACTGCTCATGTTTGGATTGCCCCCCCCCCAGTCTCATGTAATCATGGACGTGGCTGAGTCTGGCACTCATGATTGGTTTGTTGTCTGGCGCTGCAATTGGTGGTGTGAGGGCTGCACCCACCCAGGGGCAGGAAGAAGATGTGTCTTTCCTCTTCTGCTCTGTTCACTCATGCTGTTTGTGGTGGCCATGAAGGGCTGCCCTGCCATACCACCCTGCCTTAGAGCCAGCTGAGTATGGACTGAAACCCCCAAAACTGTAAGAAATAAACCTTCCCTTGCTTCACTTTGGGCATCAGGTATTTTGTCTCAACAAGACAAAAATAACCAAGACACCAGACTAGGGATAGAATATGAGAAGTTAACTTTGTGAAGATGATATTGAACACCACGGAACTAAATAAATCACCTGCTGAGCATGGAAATAAAGAGCAAAGGACCAAGCTCTGGGACACGATAATACAGTGTGATAAAGGAACATGCAAACAAGTGAAACTGAGAATGCCTGGCCTGAGGAGAATGATGAAAATCAGGCAAGAGAGTGTCAAATGTTTCAAAAGAAATCAATCAAGTAAAATATAATCCCAAAACCCTACTTATAGGTATTACTAAACAGAAACCGACACACAAGAAAACACATACAAAAATGCTTCTAAAAGGATCTGTTGGTAACAGGACAAAAGCGGGAACAACTTAAGGGTCCTTTTCAGACAACAGCTAAATTGTAATCTATTGGTACAAAGGAATACTATATTGTA